AAGCATTCTTACCAAAGAGGAAACCCACAAACTTACACAAATACCCTGCACAGTCAACATTCTGTCCCTGCACAGGCTGGAGCAGTGGCAGAGCCTGCTGGGGAAAATCCCAGGCATCTTGCCAGGTAAATCAGCTAATGTCTTCCTGGGGAGGGGCATACTGTGTATGGAAGCTTTATTTCTGTGCCTAGACAGTCGTGAACAGAGTTCCTCCCATGTCTCCTTCATGTTTACATTAGTAGGGTTAGCTGTAGGTTTCTTCTTCACCTATTACCAGCCAGCCTTGAGCAGGGCCCCTTCAGCCCCCAGCCTGAATAACGATAAATCTTGCTAATCAAATACCTTCTACAGACAAATCCGAGAGTGATAGAAACTCATGCTCTTGGAACCTAGACAGCTTCACTCCCCACTGTCTCTGCAACACATCCACACCTGCACAGAATTAGATTTGCTTTCATCTAAAGAAATAAATGGTGCTGGTTTTTCACAGTTGTATCTCTCATTTTTACTTTGAACTTTGAAAATCCCCAAGTTCCAAAGGTTTTTTGAGAGGATGGCAAAAGAACCGCATTCCAGGCTGCGTATCAACCTGCATGTATGTATGAAACCATAGAACAGTCCACTCCCAACACTGTTATCCTGACCCTCTCTGCATTCCCAGCTTGCGTATAAACCTTTATGCGTGTATGAGACCATAGAACAGCCCGTTCCCAACACGGCTATCCTGACCCTTTCTGCTGTGAGTGGTACTGAAGCTGGTGATGTTGCTCAAAAAGTAAAAGTATTTGTCACACACACAAGCCTGATGACCTGAGTTTGATCCCCACGACCCACAGTGGAAAAAGAAAATCAAGTCCTGCAAGTTGCTTCTGACCTCCACGTGTCTAGCCTTTGTCTTTGCTAATTTTGTGAAGCTTTAGCTATTTGGAGAAACTAAGTCATATAAGAAAACTGCAATATTCTATAAAAGTGCACTGTTAAACAATCAGAAAGACGAGGTTCCCAGTCTCTTTGTAGGCTGAAGTCATATTTTTAAAAAAAACTGCAATATTCTATAAAAGTACACTAATGTTTAAACATCAGAAAGACAAGGTTCCTTGTCTCTCTGTGGGCTGTCTTTAAGGTTTAAAGTTTGATTTTAATGATAAAGAGTCTCAGTTAAACCTTCATTCAAATTTATTTTTTTAATTTATTTATTTATTAAAAATTTCTGTCTCTTCTCCGCCACCGCCTCCCATTTCCCTCCCCCTCCCCCAATTAAGTCCCCCCCCTCAGCCCGAAGAGCAATCAGGGTTCCCTGTCCTGTGGGAAGTCCAAGGAACCCCCACCTCCATCCAGGTCTAGTAAGTTGAGCATCCAAACTGCCTAGGCTCCCACAAAGCCAGTACGTGCAGTAGGATCAGAAACCCATTGCCATTGTTATTGTTCTTGAGTTCTCATTCATTCAAATTTATAAAGCTCAAACTTAACAGAGATAAAATTGTAAAATCCTCATCTACTAAAAAGCTACTGATTTGTTGCAAAGTGTTAAAGGCAATTGAGACATGCAAGTTAATGGTCAGTCACCTTATAAATGATCATATTCTTTAATGTGTTCAGAACTACACTTGTGGTCATGCTAAATAGAAATACAACTCATTTGCAGGGGCAAACTTTGGCCTTCTGCATATGTGAAAGCTAAGCCTGAAGCAAGTAAAAAAAAAAAAGAAAGAAAGAAAAGTAAAGTTTGCTTGAAATCAGGTAGACTTAACGGATTAACAACCCTCAATCCCCTCCCTTGTGAATGAAAATGAGGACATGATCCCTTCTAGATATGGTCGAGAACATTTTTATTACAGACTCGAGGGAGAGGACAGCCAGAAGAAGCATCAGGAAGAGTCCAGACCGAACATGGCCAGCAGAATAGACCAGGCCATGAGAGGAGGTGGGGAGAGCAAGAGAAGGAGAGGAAGGAGGAGAGAGGGGAAACAGACGAGAGGACAAGAAGCAGAACCAAGAGCAGAACTGAGAGCCCATAGCTAAAATGGCTGAGTCATATAGGAAAGACAGGGGGCAGTGAAGCTCGGGGGCCGGAGAGGTTTAGAATACGGGGTGGGGTATGCCCGCCAGGATGACTCTGTAACAGGAGTCAAATAAGCAGGGATTTAGGGAGCCTAGAGCCTAGCATAGACCTTGATATGCTAATAGGCACCACAGACATAGGTTAATGGAGGAGCCATATTGTCTCTGAGGGAATGCTGGTGTTTGTCTAAATAGCAGACTTTAGGAAATGGAATTTCTTGAGCCCTAACACCCTAATAGACAAAAATATCAGCTCTGGTAGCAGCAACTGAGGCTATCTCCAAAGACAGGCAGCAAGGGACTCCATCTGTGCCTTGCTTTGAATGTGGTAATGTTAACCTCTAGGCAAAGAACTGCCCCCATGACTAACCCACCACCCAGCCCCCACCCAAGCACTGGACACTGTTGGGTTCACCGCCCTACTCTGACTTACCAAGGGACGTCAGTTTTCCCAAGTCCTCCCTACACAGGAAAATCTCTCAGACTTTTTGAGTCTAGAGGCCAAAAGCTGATACTGCCTTGTGTGGCAGCCAAAGATGGAAGGCCTCTACTCCAAACAACACTATCAAGATCACCGTAGAGGATCGCAGGGTGGCTGTCCAGGCAGCAGGTAAGCCTGTCGTTTTAGCTGTTACAGACGTCATCTGGTTTATGCTTCCTACTCAAACTTTCCTTCTCAGATCTCGCTGGTGGTGTTGATTGTTCGCCCTGTTTTATCCGTTTAACAGCGGCCAACACCAGGTTCTCCCACAAAGGCTGCAGCGGCCAGGTCAGTCCATTTTGTAAGTAAAAGCCAGGTCTTGCTTTTTCTTTTTGTTTTTTCAATAACCACAGATTTTTTTTAATGCGCATGGTAGCTCACACTTATACCACAGCTACTTGGGAGGCAGGGAACAGAAGATTGTGTGTTTGTGACCAGCCTGAGGTCTGTAGCCTTCCCAAGTCAGCTAGAAGGCTAGAGAGTGAGGCTTCATCACAAAACCAGCAAGCAATAACAAAGCATGACCTTTGTTTTCGGTCTCAGGTTGTGGGATATTTTATTCATTTTGCTTTTTGTGGGGCTCATCACCCTACACCCAAGTTAGGTATACAATTTTGGATTTTCTAAGATAGGTAGATTATGGAGTATTTTCTTTAAATTTACCAGACACAAATGAACTGGAATTCAGTACCTTGTGAATGTAATCTTTACTTGATAATTGTTCTTATTGTATGCAGTCATACTATGTTAAAGTTAAAACTTTTCTCTTTTGTTTAGAAAGAAAAAGGGGGAAATGCTGGGGAATATTTTCAGGTTTGTGATTTTTGTTTATGTTGCATTTGTTTAACTCTGTGAAGCTGTGTCTAAAACACCCGATGGTCTAATAAAGAGACGAAAGGCCAATAGCGAGGCAAAAGCAGGTCTTGCTTTTTCTCCACCTACTAGGTCTCCTGCTGCTAAAGGCAAACCCACCGACAGGTTTACCCTGCTGGCAGGCTTCATGCTGAGAGAGAAAAACTCACAAAACAAGCTTCAGTGTAAACACAATTGAAGCTACCATGCTGTTACTCAAATGTTTACTTTCATTTAAAAGAACTTGCTTTTCAATGACTGCTCTCAACAATCAAGCCCTTATGTCTCATAGCAAATGATTAGATGTTTCCAGAAGGGGAAAAAAAAGGAAGTTTATGCAAGTTGTAAAGGTCTAAGGAAGTGATTTAAGGTATGTGAAAAACAATGAGACTTAAATAGAATACGAGGCATGACTTCAAAAGGTCAGAGTCTTAACATTAATCATTGGGGTTCTAGTAAGTTATTAATGTAGCCTTGGTAAAAACCCTGGCTACTAAAGCTTTTTTTTTATCACAGGCACAAAATTTATAAATTTCTCTTATATTCAGAATATAGTCCATTTCCCACAAAGTGTTGCCCAACTAACTCACAGCACTTAGATCTAGAGACTTCAGAATGTCACCTACAATCATTTTAAACAAACTCCCGTCTCCCACTTGGTGATGTCCTGCTTTAAATAAATTCCAACTTGCTTCCCAAGGGAAACTCTTCTCAGAATCTATGTTGTAGTAGGCGTTAAGCAACACCTAAGGAGAAAGTTCTAGAGACTGGCATGTTGCATTAAGACCATAGAGATGGGCAAGGGGGATGGCTACAGTGATAAAAAGGCTTAACACATAAGCCTGACAACCCAAGTTTGAGCGAAGAACTCCATGAAGAGCCCGCCTGTATGCATGTGGTCCATGTGTGCGCCTTCACCTAGTGCTGGAATTAGAAACAGTTTTAAGTCTGGGTTCTGAGAACAAAATCCTATTCTCTGGAAGATAGCCATTTCTCTTCATTGCTAACCCATCCTTCCAGCCCCTATAAAAAATAGTTTTAAATTAATGTTTTGTTTTCTCATCATCTTCTTGAGGAGTAAGTAAGGGAGGGTGTTTTTATAAAATAAAATAAAATTTTCCAAACAGAAAACGTCCTTGGAAATCCACTTTCTTCCTCTCCCTCACAGCTCCCTTCGAGGATCGTGGGAAACCTTTCTAGATGAGATAGATTTTTGGCTCTGGTCCCCAGTGATGTTGTGTGGGTGCTCGTGTTAGAGACGGAAACTCATCATCTACAAAGAGAAACATCTTTATAGACTAGACTCAAAGATGTTTCCAAAACCAGCAATGGAAGGAATTCACCTTGAAAGAAAGAAGCTGACAATTGGATTGTTGACAACATTTTAAGAATCTCAGCGTGAGCTGCAGAAATCACTCCGAAGTTAAAAGTACTTGCTGCTCTTGTACAGCCCAAGAATTGGGTTGGTAGTACCCATGCCAGGCTAGAACTCTGATTCCAAGAAGTCAATGCCCTCTTATGGCCTCCACAGACACCTGAATGTGTAGGGCACACACGCATAAAACATAAAAATAAAATAAATGGAGGGACCACAGGAAGGTTCTCATGCTTCCAGTTTATTCAACAGAAAGGAAATTACCCTATGGTGGCTTTGGTGTCAGCTTAGCCCCACAAAATGCTCATGGGTAGCAGCCTGAAGTGGCTTCTGTCATATCATATAGAAGAAAAAGCAAGGGTTTTCCCCTAGGATTTGCCACCAAGAGAGTTCATTGATACATAACAATGTGTCCTGAATTTTCTTTTTCTTAAGAGAGAGGAGATTTGTTCGAAGAGTTGTTGAGTTGACAAAGGAGAGTTCCCATCAGTAAGAGTGAAGCCATTTTCAAAAGAGAAAGGAGCATATCCTGGGGACAGGATGATGGAGCCAGAGGGCAGCATCCTGTCCTCCACTTCTACGTAAGGACCAGTTCACCCATCCTGGGAGTAAGTTTCCACCTCAGTAATCAAATTTCCCCCACTCTAGAGATGTATTCTGCCCATTGGGGATAACTGACATCTCTCTAGGGGGAACAGTAACCCTTTCAAGGGCCACAGCCTTCTTTCTAGATGTTCCCTCCTCAATGGGAGTCATAGTCTGAAGATAGGCAAGAGTTGTAACCATCTCTGCAGAGGTCACAGACTGATTGCCCCCTGTGGCCGTGGTCTCTCCCCCAGGGGTCACAGACTGATTACCCACTGTGGCCATGGTCTCTCCCCCAGAGGTCACAGACTGATTACCCACTGTGGCTGTGGTCTCTCCCCCAGGGGTCACAGACTGATTACCCACTGTGGCCGTGGTCTCTCCCCCAGGGGTCACAGACTGATTACCCACTGTGGCTGTGGTCTCTCCCCCAGAGGTCACAGACTGATTGCCCTCTGTGGCCGTGGTCTCTCCCCCAGGGGTCACAGACTGATTACCCACTGTGGCTGTGGTCTCTCCCCCAGAGGTCACAGACTGATTGCCCACTGTGGCCATGGTCTCTCCCCCAGGGGTCACAGATTGATTGTCTACTGTGGCCGTGATCTCTCCCCTAGAAGTCACAGACTGATTGCCCACTGTGGCCGTGGTCTCTCCCCCTGGTATCTGTGTCTGGACTATCACTGTCATCTCAGTGATGGTCTCAGACAGAAGGTCCAGTGAGGTTGTAGCATTTGCCCAAGGAGCCATGGTGTTACTTCCTAGAGCTACAGTATGTGTTGCAGGAGACATTGTTCTCCCAGGGGTCACGAATCCACCATTAGGGATTGTAGTCACATTTTCATACTTTCTGGGGCCCTCAGCAGCCATAGCCTCTCCTCCTGGCGGCAGAATCTTTACAGCATCAGTGGTCAACTCCTCTGTCACAGGCGGACTCTCAGAACCAGGTCCTGAGGAATTCACAGGCGATGTAAACCAAAATCGTGGCAAAGGAGTTGAGCTGAACTCTGGAGAAAAATTATCAGAAAAAAAAATGGTAAGATTTCCACCTCTCCTTTTCCTTTCCTTTATCAACTCCCAACAACTCCAAAGCTGAAAAATCTGACCCAAAAATCCAGCATTGAAGAATTTCAAGATTTACTTCCCAGAGGGAAAAGATAAAAATCTCACCACACTGAAGACCTGTTCCCTTACCCTGAAGTGTTATCATAGACCCAAACTGTGGGCCTTATGTGGATTTGCGGCATTTCTGGTGGCTAATTCATGGAAGGCTCTTAGGTCCCTTTGTTTATACCCTCACTTTAACCTCTCTGGGTACCTCTAGCCAGACCCATTGTTCAAGGCCTAATTTGTTGTTAGAACACCTCAAAGAGAGGCCGTCCACAGCCATATTGGAGGAGGTGTCAGAAACAAAGCTGAGGCCTGGAGACTCCAGATCACAAGTGGTAAACCTTAGATTAGAACCCGTGTAAGTGCTTGTCCTGGCTGAGCTTCAGCCCTGATCTCTAAGGGAATGCAGCTCTTACATTCGATGTCCCAACTGCCAGTGCAGCTGCTACTGTCAAAAGGTGTGTGTGTGTGTGTGTGTGTGTGTGTGTGTGTGTGTACAGCTTTTCTAGTCCCCTTGTTCAAGAAATGAGAAGAAAAACCAGGAATGAACGTTAACTAGGAAACAGTATGCTGTTAGACCATTAGCTCATTTAGTTTGTCAAAATGCCCTGCGTCTGGGACTATCTCACTTTCAGATGAGGCAAAGAAAGATCAAGGAGGTCAAATTTGGTTGACATTAAAGTTTGCTGTCTTCCTTCAACGTCACGTCAAAGAAGTTACACCCAGCAGAATAGACCCACCAGTGTCTGGTCTGCCACTTAGAACCCTGCCTTCCTGGTCCTCGTTACTTACCTGCCTGTACCAAGAGCTCATTCAATATATGGACAAGGGGAAAAGGGCCATTGCCACAGAAAGTGCCACTGACGTCATCCATATCCAGTGTCCACAGCATGGCACCCCCAAAATGTTCCTTTTTCACAAACATTGCCTGCAAAAGTAACAATCAGTTACTAACCACCCTCCAGTCTGGGTATAGGGGGAAGAACAGAAGATGAGCAAACCTGCAGAAGGCAATGAAGGAGGACGTTTATAAAAAGAATCACCTCTATTTCTCATTAGCTATGGAACCTTAAAATTTTTATATGACTCTCTTCTTCCTTGATCACCTCATTCCAGAAAAATAGTATTTCCAATATTTCCAAGACCAATATTTCCAAGAATGACTACATACTACAACATGAACGTGTTTTGAAGATACTCTATACTAAGTAAAATAATCAGATAAAAGAAAAATGATGAAATCGATATGATTTCACTTATTGTGCTAAGTATTTAAAGCAGTCGAACCCACAGAGGCAGGAAGTAGACTAGTCATTGTCAGGTGCTGTGGGGGGGGGAGGGAGGGAGTTAATGTTTATGGGTTCAGAGTTTGAATTGGGGAAGATGGAGAAGCTGTAAAGACGAACGGTAAGAGAGCCAAACGACATGTGAGCACACTTAATGGCACTGACTTGTGGGTTTCAACATGGCTAAAATGCAGGGAAGGCATGACGGTTTGTGCTTGGAATCTCAGCACTCAGCAGCAGGAAAAGCAGTTCAAATCTAGTCGTGGTTACAAGTGAGTGCCTACACGTGACCCTGTCTCAACACCCCCACCATTAAGCAATAGGTAAAATGGTAAACCTTACGTGTTATGTAGGTAGGAATACTCCTTCACTTTAGCAGGCACAGAGCCAATGTTTCCTGATGTTAGCTACTGTTTCCATGCCCCTCGCCTGCTACCATCGTCACCATCAAGCTGAACTACGAGATCATTTTATCTTTTAAAATCTTCCACATACTTAATGTTACAGTGCTGTTGAAAAGTAACCATGAAACAGATACCGTGCGCCCTTTATACAGATGGGAAGATTAAAAGGCTATCCTCCATGACTTTTAAAGCTTAGCTATAACTAAATGGCAGGGTTTGCACTCAAATTCCGAACCTGTTGTTATTTTGCTGGGTGCTTTCTGGTAGAAACAAACAAACAAGTCCCCAAAGATTCTATCCTATTTAAATATCTGTGTGACATTGCTGAGCCATGTTGCTCTTTTGTGAGATTTATTTTCCAGAAATGTAAAATACAAGAAAGGAGGTGAAGAGTGACTATTAGTTTGAAGCTCTAAGGGTTCTAGAAGCATATCCTACCTACAAGCTATACGTTTCCTTGGACCACAGAACAAACTATTCATAGTGAAACAGGAAGCCAGAACAGCATCTTGAATTGGCTCCCTACCCTAGTTCTCCTGCCTCTGTGTGTTTGCCCCTTTAAATACTTAGCATGATAAGTGGAATCATACAGACTTTATCAGTTTTCTTTTGACTGATTATTCTACTTAGCATAATAGCTTCAAAAACTCATTCACATTGTAGTATATAGGTATTCTTTCAGGCCTAAAAATATTGGCAATATTATTTATTTTTCTCGAATAAGGTGGCCAAGAAAGATAAGAGTCATATGAAATTTCTAAGATTCCATAGCTAATGAGAAGTAGAGGCTAGAGTTCAATGCAGATTATAGTCATAAATGTCCTCTCTTCATTGCCTAGTGTGAGGAGCTGGAGAGATAGTTCAACTCTTAAGACCACTTACGGCTCTTACAGAGGACCCAGGTTTGCATCCCAACACATACACAGTGGCTCATAATCATCCGTAATTCCAGTTTCAGGGAAAACAACACCCTCTCCTAACCGTCAAGAGCACTAACCATGCTAGTGGTACACACACATACAAGCAGGAAAAGCGTTCGTATCCATAAAATAAACCAGTCTAGAAAACTTTAAGGCACTGTGACAAACTGAGGCTCTCCTGGCTGTGCGTGAGGTTTGGACCACCGAGCAGGCTGGACATTGTGAAATTTGGAGCTTAGACAGAAGGGCTAAACTGCCCGGCTTCCCTCTCCACTGGCATGAACAGTCCAATCTGTTTCTGTGTCGACACTGGGGTGGTGATGAGGGAGGGGAGGGAATGGTCTTTGAGCACAGGCAAGTGGCTCTGGGAGAATGTGGAAAGATGGCTATCCACTTTAGCATAATTCGCCTGCTTCCTTTGCTAACTCGCCTGCCCTAGGCAGGAGCTAAAATATTTAAAGTAGTTATGTCTCAATAATGGCTCCAAGTTTCCAAACTGAAAGTCATACACCAAGCCACATATTCCCAGTGAAGGATTAAACTCTCACCAGTATTTTAGACTCTTCATAGAAATACCCTGCCTCACCCAAATTCTACTTTAAACCTGTGAGAAGATGTCGCTCAAAATTCACCATTTCTTCCTGCCCCCTCCTCCCTCAGGAAGCCTTTCCTCATTCCTGACACATGGATGGCTGGTGAACTATAAACCCTGTCTGCACACATGTGCACACGCGCATACGCACACAGTATACAGGAGAGTCCCATCAAAGCGAATGAGAATCTGAATGCTGGAACAGGAAAGAACAAGCGTCTCACCTTGTAACTGAAGCTGATGGTGTCATCGTAGCCAACCCACTCCTGCCCCTGGTAGGCATAGGGGACATATTGATAATCAATCCAGTGTTTCTCTGCGCTCTGGATAAAGGAACAGACCTGCCAGGAGGACACAGTAAGATCCATGAAATGCCTTGAAGAGAAGTACCAGGAGACTCAGTTGCTTCTTGTCAGGAGAAAGGATCCAGGGGAAACCTTTCCCAGGGAGAGAGCAAGCAAACTGTTCACAGAGGCCTTCCTCTACATACTGACTATGTCCCTTCTGTTACATGGCCCTTCCTCTAGTGTCCATGGTTTACACAAAAGGAAGAAAGAAAGAAAGAAAGAAAGAAAGAAAGAAAGAAAGAAAGAAAGAGAGAGAAAGAGAGAAAAAGAAAGAAAGGTAGAAAAGTGACTGACATTCACCAGAAACAAAGTAAGTCAGGGTCTGGTAAATAACACCAGCGCCACAACACTAAGACGAATAAACCTGACCAGTGACCAGGACTGCATCTCTTCTGCTGTCTTCAGAAACAAGTTTCTCTTGTGTTGTTTAGAGCTCAGAACCAGCTGCCCCATCTAGGCAGCTATCTTACTAGTGCCTCTAACGGTCTTGAAGGCAGAGTAGACTAGGTTGTTAGAACCCACCACACTCTTGAGTGCCCATTGAAATCCCAGTACTGTGCTAGAAACCGAATGTTGCAGAGACAACATTCAAGTTCTGCTGCAGAAGTTAATATCTAAGTCATTCTTTGTGAGGTTTTTGTGGTTGTTGTTGTTGGTTAAGTTGTTTGGTGGTTTGGTTGTTCAGTTGGTTGTACTTTAAAGGTTTTGTGTGCTGAAGTTTCCATAATCTATCATGCCCTCAAAAAAACATTCTTTCAACTGTGTTATCACGCACAGCCATGTTTCATAAAATTATCAGGAAAATAGTTCCAGTGATCCAATGGGGAGCAGAGCTTAGAGGCCCATGCAGCAGCTCCATCCCTCCCTAAAGGAGGGCGATAACTCTTCAACTGGCACCCTGCTGTCCTCTACTTACCCCCAAAATTCTTCTGTGCATATGTGCTTGTGTGTGTGTGTGTGTGTGTGTGTGTGTGTGTGTGTGTGTTTAAAAGGCGTGCACTTTATTTAGGCCATAGACCAATTTACCTATGTAACATTTAAGATTTTCCTTTCCATCCATATTCTCCCTGGCCTCTTACCTCTCACAAAGGCCTCCACAACCCCAAATTGAAAAAAATTTTTCAGTGAATTTCCCTTGTCTGGAAAAAAAAAAGTCTCTTTGCCCTGTCTCTAGCTCTCATGCACCATTGCTCTTGCACCAGCTCTTGCTCCAGCTTGAGGGAGGAGCCCCAACTACTAGACAGAGGTCTCTGATCTCATCACCTCATAGTAAGCCAGGAAGCCAGCCTGCTTGGTGTACTTCCCAGGAGATCCTGGTCCCGTGGAGGCAGCCTGCAATCCATTCTTAGATGCACTGAGCAGGTGAAAGGTACGTCCATAGGCGGGGAAGCCCATGAGTAGTTTCTCTGCGGGTGCCCCAAGATTTCTCCAGTAATTCATAGCATATGCCTGTGGGTGGGAAGAAGATAACCTCACCAACTGCCTGGGCTCGAGGATGAAAATCTAGATCACCTGAGGTCTTCCCTTACCGAAGATTTGGAGTCTTCAGGAAGAGAGAACAGAGGACTGTTGTGTCCTGTAAACCTTTCCCAACTTCCGTGTAAGTCATAAGACAAGACACTAATGAAATCCAGACGTCTGTGAGGAACAGAGGAGCAGATATGAATGTCAGGCTAACTAAACTACCCAGTTCAGATCATCACAGCACCATTCAACTAAATAGCTGTAAGTCAACCATCAAAGCTTTTTGCTCTCACGGACCTGCCCAGGGTCAGCAAGGCATTTTGGGATACAATGAATTGCTGGCTAGGGATAGCTGCACACCAAACTCTGTGCATCCTGAGAGGATAGGTGGAGGTGAAAAGAGCTCAGACAAGGAAGTGAGGACATGCAGGCCGGACAGAGTGCGGGCAGAGGTTTAAATAAACTGTCAGGAATCGAACCACAGTGCCGTCCCATAGGAGGAAAACAGATGTTTGCCAAAGAACCGCTGATGCCCACTCTCCCAGAATGCTTTCGTTATCATAGTGGCCGAATGTTACCTGAGTATGTATCATGCCAGAATGTAAGGGCTTATGCTGGTTGTCTAATTTAATCTGGTGAATGTCATAAATAGACTCGCCCTCTCTGTCTGTCTGTCTGCATGTCTGTCTATCTGTCTGTCTTTCAGGGTAGTGTCTTTTTTTGTTGTTGTTTTTTTGTTTTGATTTTTCGAGACAGATTTTTGGAGCCTTTCCTGACCTGGAGCTAGCTCTTGTAGACCAGGCTGGTCTCGAACTCACAGAGATCCACCTATCTCTGCCTCCGGAGTACTGGGATTAAAGGCATGTGCCACCACCGCCCAACTGGCAATGTCTTATTATATAACCCATGCTGATCTAGAACTGACTATGCAACCCACGCTAATCTCAAACTCTTGATCGTCCTTCCTCTACCTCCCTGGTGCTGTGATTACAGATGAGTATATAATATCATATCCAACCAACATTTTACAGTTTAAAGGTAAATCATTGGGAACTCATATTAACAAATATTTTGAAAGTCACCCAGATAGGTCAAGGTAGTACTCTCTCATTGTTACCTGGCAACACAATGAGCATTAATAAGCTTTCTTCCCTGTTGGGTCTCTCTTTTCCTCCCACGTGAAAACACCCTCCCTCCTGCGAATACACAGGGGCAGCATGTCCTCTTTCTCCACGTGAACCTTGGTTTCTTTCTCTTTAATACTTGACTGTTAGTCAAGAAAATGAGTTCAGAGCCAGCGTGTCTAGAAAGATTTATAACCTACCTATTTTTGTCTGCTTTTTTAACTTTTGCAAAAATATCTCCTCTAAAATGTGAGTCCGGCTGGGCATTCCTGTGTTGCTTTCCACGGCATTGCATGCTACTCACCTGCCCTCTGACACTATCGTCGATTGCATGTTATATGTCTATTCGTGTGCTCAGGGGAGGAAGAGGCCGGCCCCATGGCATTTGCCATCTATGTGTTCCAGCAATGGGCCCTGAAGAAGACTCTACCTTTGGTGATGGTGTTATAAGTCAGCAGTACAAAACCCAGTTCTGAGTTTTTGGATAAAAGCCCAGGGATGGGGAGCATATCATTCCCATCCTCACCTCATTAGCCCCTCACTCCACTCCTCAGCTTATCCCAGAACCTCACCAACATGGGGACAGCAAACAGAGGCTCAGACAGTCCTCTAGCCACTTTGGAACAACATCCACTCACCTTCCTAAAAAGCGCACATCATAAGACGTCTGTATGATGTATGGGACACCAGACACAGCAGCCGACAGCAGCAGCCTTGGGCGCTGGGTGAGCAGTGCCTCCTTCTCAAAGGCAAACTGGAGCTCCTAGGGAGGGGGGAGGGGGAGAGAGAGAGAGAGAGAGAAAGAGAGAGAGAGAGAGAGACCACATGCAGAAATTTTTTACACTCTTTAAGCCAGGCCTGGTTCAGAAAGAGAACACAGGCTATGTGAAGACAGACAGCATACCAGCATGATATTTGAGTTAACACAGACAAAGAGAGCAGGCTGGGAACAAGGCCCAGAAACTCCAGAGAGAAAGTGTCCCTTAGGCTACAGAGCTGGGGCAAGATCCAGAGGGAGACAGAAACAGCCACAGGGCAACCACTCCACAACAGTGTGACTCAGCATGTCCAGGGAATGTCTGTAGAAGAATATTCTGTTCCTTTCCTCTGCCTGCCCCAAACTTATGTTACCTAACACCCACTGACCCCAAATGAAAAGTAAAACCATTTTCTTATTGGCCTTACTTCCACTAAGAAGAGAAAATTCCACCGGTCATTCGCCGGGCTGCCTCGTAATCCAGGGTACAAGAAGAAGAGATCAAGCCCATCAAAACCATGTGTTCTCAGGAAGAATATAACTGAATCAATGAACTCCTCACGGCTGGCAATTGTGGATAGCATAGAGGTGAACCTGCAGGGAGACCAGGGTAAGGCAAAGAACACTGTCTTCAAAATCAGCGATCTCTGAGGCCCTAGAAATGTCCCCATCTCATGGCTTAAATTGTCACAAGAAGCAAAGTGCTCTCAAGAAGAATTCCCACTCTCGACCCTTTTATTCTTTGGCTTTATTTGATTTTTTTGTTTGTTTTTTTTTCCATAGCAAAACACTCAAGAGTAATTCTTGCTTATCAGAGCTGAACTTGAAGCAAATCCAGATTAACCTTGTGAAAAGTGATTATAAAATAAGTAGACCTAGAAATAAATGGACCGGGACGCCATTGTCTATCGGTCACCACTCAGCTGGGCCCCCTTGAGGGGCAAGGACACCTGGAAGAAACCTTGAAAGTTCCTTAATACTTGTGACTCTTGCTTTCTTTTCCTAATAATTTAAAATACAGCCATTTCACAAGACATCATCCATCCATACATATTTACATGCGTGCATACATGAATACATAAATACATGTGGCATCTCATTTGACTTTAGGCTCACAGCAAGTCAAAGAACCAGAGATGAGGCCTGGGGTTGGACAGAGCTAGTTGTTAAACACCTCCCACCTGGAATCCTCCATCCTACCTGGGGGTCCCAGACTGTTAGGTCTCTCTCCAAAGCTGAAAGGCAGGCTCTGCCCCCAGACCTTAGCTAGGAAGCAAGGAAACTTTCCTTCTGAGAATATGAAGGTAGTTTGTCATTTCCCTATTGTATCTTGGATGGGGTCACTAACAAAAGTGGCCACTGCATGAAGGATGCTGAAGGATGCGTGCTGTGAGTCCCTGCAATTGCACCAGCATATCCTGGGTTGCTTCTTTATCGCTAACACAGCCAGCTCCATGCACAGAGTGGGAAAGCCCAGGGCCTGTGAGGTTTGGGGGTTACTCTTCTTGTCCTATATAAAACTTTCTTCAGAAATAAAGGTGCTGCCTCCAACAAAAGTAACTCAAGATTTATTTGTGGGTGTCCCATTTTGCCTGTCACTCATTTCTGGTCCTAAGTTTCACATCTGATGCCTAAATTCCTTGGTATTTTTTCCCATGGATTTGTATCTCCAAGTGGTCTTGTGTTTTGTTTTGTTTTGTTTTGGGTATATTTTCAGATGGTACCAAGGGTCAGACACAGGGTCTTGTCTTATTGTGGTCATGTTCTCTGCCACTTGGCCGCACTCCCAGTGTTAATGTACCATATTATCCATATTGTCTGTCATGTTCCCCTGCCCCTCTTCTCATACTCGCACGCACGCGCGCGCGCGCGCACACACACACACACACACCATTATTCTCACTTCCAGCTCATCTTGCTCTACCTCCCAGAGAGAAGACAGTGGCAGGGCAGCTCACCGTGATGTGCCGAAGTTCCAGCCTCCAATGGACAGCAATGTTTTCAGGGCCCTGTTCCTGGGATGTGGGGAAGAAAGTGGGTAAGTAGGTCCTTACTCTAGGGGCAGCAGCGGTCACTGCTCTTCTTTCTTCTGGGCTTTGGGAAAACATTGGGAAACGGAGAAGGGGACATGAGAAGAATAGGAAAGGGCATGTGGAGGAGACCATAGAAGTAAAGGAAATGGAGATGAATAATCACTCCAAAGACCCTTACAGCTCTGTGCACCAAGACTACAAAGCGCCCCAAGCTCCCTCACTTCCCAATAACATTTTCAGAGAAGAGTCTAAAAATCTCTCGTCACTCATCTTCCCATTCACTGAGCAATAACAATGTGCCTTTGACTGAAATGTAACAGCAAGCACATAGGCAAGCACCCCACGCCTCTTTGAAGCACCTAACACCTCAAAGGGGGAGCCAGAGTTTACCAGGAGAAGGGAGTGTGAAGCCATCCACGGACAGGCAACACTAACTACCAAGTCATCAAGGCAAGAAGCAGCTCAGGGGGCTGGTCAACAGAGAGCTCTTAGTTAGTGCTCAGATCCCCACTTGAGAGAAAGGTAGGATTAGAAAGACCAGGGAAGCTGAATTTTCCTCTAGCTCTAAAATCTGAGACCCCAGCAGCACATCTAACATACCTCTCCTTGAGTTTGTTGAACTCTGGGTAGAGAACGTTCTCATCCTGGAGATTATTGGCAACAATCTGATTGTTGCTCATTGAGGCAAAGGCAAATATCAGGTGTGTACAAAGAAAGGGGTCCAGGTCACGGGGCAAGATGGAGGCAGGGCCTGGCCGACTGTGAGCCCAGTTGGTGAAATAACACACCAGCTTGTAGGCAGTACCTGGCAAGGACGCAAGTATTAGCAGAGAGCATGGGGCAAAGAGGGAGCTCGGCTTCCAGAGGGTAGAGAAAGCCCAGCCAAAGGGACCAGGCCACTGTAACGGTCTCCAATCCATCCACATACATCAACACCTCCTCCACATGCCCCTAAAACTCTTGCCTTCGCTGCTGGGAGAAGAGAGAAGCTCTTATCAGTCTAGATCCAGGGACCTATTGAGCCATACAAACAAGTGACCAGCATCCTGTGCTGAATTCCAATGGATTTAATAACCTCTGACAAAGGAGCCAAGTCAGGTAGAGTCCAGGAGACACTGAAGGGAGATTTCCTAGCCAGAGAATCTCCCTGGCTATGGAGGAGAGAAGGTGGTTTCCTTACCATCACTGTGTTTCATCAGAAGAACCAGCCCTGCAGGAAATGAAGAAATTCATGTACACACGCACTGTGGCATGCCCCTGCACACCCTCCGATATGCAAGTGACCCCTCCAGCTAACACCATATACACAAGCAGATGCACCAATGGTGACGCACATCAGCCACTGGTTTCCTCTCCTTACAGGTTAACAGTGGAGCTAGTCTAAGCCCCTTTCCTAGTAGCTATCACCATGTACCTACACATGCTCTGCATAGGGTCGACGGCAGAAGTCCTGCTAAAGCGCTCAGCCAGCGGTTCTCAATTCTGGCTATAGATTCAATAGTACTCATATCACAGTCCTCTTCTCAGAAATTCTGAATAAACTGGTCCAAGAGGAAGCCCAAGCAAGAAAACAACTTGGTTGGAGACCTGCTTCTCTGGCCCTTCCCCATTTAGTGCCTCTGATTCTTTGTTATGACTTATCTCATATTTGTTAATCCAGACTCTCTGAGTCCCGGACTGCTCTACTGGGCACCAGGGAAATGACAAACTGGTATCTCCTGAACTTTGTGGCATTGCTAGGATCCGCCATACTCACCAGCCAAGAGCAGCAGCCTCCCCATCTCAACTGTCTGGCAGCTACGGGGATGGAGCTCAGGACCCTTTATTAGGAGCTGGCCTATGTGCAGCATGGGGAGAGCCCAGCTGCTCATACGTGCCATGCCAGAAACGATGACTCAAGAGTCACAATGACCTCAGAAATACTTGTACTCCCACTTCAGAATAGCCAGAGTTCTCAGGGCCAACGAAGTCATATCTCTGGCCTGACACGATCAGAGAGTCAGTGTTCACCACAGGCTATAACAAAGACAGGGGCAGTGATCCTGAGCCTTGTCTGGCAATTGGCCCCATTTGCTGGTATTCTGTTTCCCACAGCTGAGGTGGAGGAAAAACACTGCATGATGGGATAGGTCCACAAAGATTATCAGGAAAGCAGTGTATCATGAAGCCTCAAAGCCTCAGTTTGGATTTAGACTTAAGGGCCAAGGTAGCAATCCCTGTTATACCATTTAGAAGCTTTATAGTTTTGGATGAATTACTGAGCCCCTGAAGTTTCCACACATAAAGAAAAACCTGTTTTCCCTGAAGTAAATAGCTCATTCTTACCTCCCAGGAATATATAGGGACGGAAGTGATAGTGTGGAAATTGTGGTTTGCATAAACTAAAAGCTTAGTTAACTACTGACGTTATTAGGAAGTTGGGCAAAAGAGAAGGATGCTCAAACTCATACTGACACTCGCCAGACAGCTCATGTCAACAGGTGGAGTAAACACACGAAAACAGCGTGTTCTCTGCAGAATACAAGGAGTTCAGACCCAGCCTGAATGAATTATTATGAATGTGCAGCCAGCCTGAAGAATTATCCTTCTCCTCTGACCTTTCGTTGCTGGCTGACATGAAACCTTGTGGTCAGGAGGGGACAGCATGTGGTCAGGAGGGGATAGCACTCTCGAGCAGCAGCTCTTGGCTGTCCTCATGGGAAATGGGCCTGGAGTTGATAGACCCATTACTTTCTCAGGGAGAAAACAAAAAGAACCCTGAAACTTTGTAAGAAAATATTTGGGCAAGTGTATGAGGCAACCATGAGAATGGGACCTGAGCCTCAGGAATAGGAATATGATTATGGACACCCAAGAGCCAATTTTAAAAAAATGCAACAATGCAAAAGGTTTTTTTTTTTTTAAGTCTGTACAGCAAATGTTGCTTTGATCCATCTGATTTCCTTCCCTTTCTCTGTTCCAGAAGGTCTCAGATTGTATGCCCTCTCTGAGACAGATGCTGCGGTGTATGCATAGGAGATGCTAAGCCGTTCTCAATGCAATGGATCCTGAGAAATCACAGTGCCCAGTGGTCAAGTCTGCTGAACATCTGTCCTTCATTTATGAGATGAAATAAAGACAAAACTCTTAATTTTTAAACCAGGAGTGTGTGCTTGGAAAGCAACAATGATTGCAGTAAGAAAGCATGGATTTTACTATCAGACTCCAGGGGCCCTTCCTTCCTGCACTGTATGGTCCCTGGGGTCCCTTGCTTCACACAGCTTCCATTCCGTGGGCTACCGTTAACCTAAATCAGAAGTTCAGCTCTAATGACCATGCTTTCGTTTCCCAGTCACTACCCGTGTGCTATGGCACACCAATATTCCTGTTACTGGGTCTATAACTTTGCAACCTGATCTGTAAATTATTGAAACTACAGTTGGTTTCTGGGGCCTCAATCTTGTCAGGCTATCTTGCCCTGAAGCTCTAATGGTTCCCTTTTAAGACCTTAAGGAATGTTGATCTCTACTTCTGGGCCTTCCTCCACTGTGACTCCTGCCTTTCTGCAGGGCTGAGATGCCCCACTAGATTTGTGCCCTTCAAATCACACTGCTGCCGGCACTAGCTGTCAGTGTAAAGTGCTTGCCTACAGGCTGTACCTGATCTCTCCACATCCACATGAGGAGCTATGATGCTGAGAAGACAAGACAGAACAATGGTTGTCAGCAATGACCTCTGCCTAATTCAGGAGTGACCATGCCAAAAACCTGTATACATAGTGGTTGATAATCACATTAAATAAGAATTAAATTATCAGTGTGCTGTACCAATCTGTTTGTTCAGTCTTATTCTGTCAGTTCTTGCTTTAAAACCAAACCAGCCAATGCTCACGTGAAACACCCACGGGCATTTAGAATGTATTCCTTGGTGCTTAGCCTATTCTTATGCAGAAAGATAGTTACTATGTACCATACTTGGGTAACTGATGAATTTTCTCTCATATTTCATTAGACTAATGGAGATGAAGGCAGGAACACGGATGTGAAGTCATTTGAGCAAAGCATTTGACTAAAACCTTTTGACACTTTTGTAGAGGAATTATAGAAGCAGGTTTCAAGTAAATCAGTTGTGTGAAAGAACAAAGTTCTTAATATTGTCCACGTTTCAGTTTCTAGCCAATTTCCTCATCTTTAAAGTGAAGGCTATTTCCCAGTACTGTTGGTTAAGCATGCAGGCTTTTATCTTCATGTTGAATGTTTCTTGTATTAGAAAATGTTTTTTTTTTTTTTTTTTTTTTTTTTTTTGGTTTTTCAAGACAGGGTTTCTCTGTAGCTTTAGAGCCTGTCCTGGAACTAGCTCTTGTAGATCAGGTTGGCCTCAAACTCAGATCCTCCTGCCTCTGCCTCCTGAGTCTTTTTTTTATTCCACGTTTGAGAGTATGCCACTACTTATATAAAACTGGATTTAAAAAGTTAAGCACTGTTTCTTATTGTTTGTTGATGTAAGTTCTTTACTGAAGGACTCATGACAACCTCAGATTCAAAAGTTAAGCCATCTGCCTTAGGAATGAAAAAATGCACAACCAGGGAAACCAGGCACACTCTGCTTAATGTTTCTAAGCCTGCCAATGTCATGAAAACTTGTAGTGTGTAGAACCCGAACATAATTTAGCTTGTAGACATACAATGTATCCCAGGTCCAATCTTCATTGCGATGCTGAGAATCCAAGTGAGAACTACCATCAAAGTGGACATTTTCTTTTTTTTTTTTTTGGTTTTATTTATTTATTTATTAAAGATTTCTGCCTCCTCCCCACCACCGCCTCCCTTTTCCCTCCCCCTCCCCCATCAGCCCGGAAGAGCAATCAGGGTTCCCTGCCCTGTGGGAAGTCCAAGGACCACCCACCTCCATCCAGGTCTAGTAAGGTGAGCATTCTTAATTCTTTTAGAACAATGCCTCTACAATAAAATGCTTGTCTAGAATCTGGCACTTTAACATCACAGGGACAAATGAAATATGTTATCAAGAGTGACTTTTCAACCAATGATATTTGCTGGTTTCTACCAGAACCATGTTAGGGACTAAACTCAACTACTGAGCTTTTGACTTACTACCACACAGTAAAGATTAAAATATCCATGCTTCCAAAGGAAGCCAAAAGCCCAACAGTCGTGAAAACCTCACAAGGAAATGTTTGGATATTCAACAGTGGTCTACTTGCCTTGCTCACTTCCAAACGGTTGTGCAGACTAGAGATGATGTTCTGGAGAGAATTTCTGAGACTGACTAGTGCTTGCTTTCCCAAACAAAAGCAATTTACGGGTTCTGAGTTTTCCCCAGGATTATCCACATCGCAATAAGCAGCTCACTATAAAAGGCTGACTAGATACAATTCTCACTACAAAAGGCTGACTAAATATAAATTCTCTTCTCTTCTCCCACACATGGACTTTGTTTACATGCTCCAAACCTTCACAATATACATACACGCCCACACAAATTAGTATATCGTCTTTTTCTATTCACATTTATTTGGTGAACTCAAAGCTAAGGCAAACAATTATCAAAACACAAAGAAAATACAGGACATCATTCATTCTGTCCACATCCAGTACCTTTTAAAAACCAGTATCTTTACTCTCCTGTCTAGAAACAGCGATGTCATGACGTCCTCTGAAGCTGATGACTTTTACAACACTTCCTTATAAGCTAAAGATATAGACGCCCAAGGCAGTTTGAGTTTTGGGTACATTCTTTATGTGCATAGAGGTGGGCAGAGGACAACTTGCTGAGTAGTAGTCTTTTCATCATGTGGGTAGCAGAGACTGAATTCGGGCCGTCAGATGGCTCTTTTACCCACTACACAATCTTCTGCCCCTGAGTTTGGGTATTTTTAAGCTGTGACAGTGAGCCACAAGAAATGTCCACATGGCTCTTTACTAAAGCACCAGGGACCATCTGTTCTACAGTGAGATACCTAAAGAATCAGTAATGTCTGATGTCACCCAGGACTATACAGACCTTCAGTGTTTCACATCCCAAGAACTCACTCCAGGTTGTCTCAGACCACAGTGGGTCAGCAGTTTAACACTGGCTGAGGAAAAGCAGTCACTTGTGTTGAGACATTTGAACAGTAACACTAACCTGAATCAAACTGTTTTCCAACAAGCAAAATGCCCCCATTGTTCCCAGCCACTGGGCCTTGCAGGACTGGCACAATTCTTCAGACAATGAATGACCTGCTGCAACTCCAGCCATTGTCCTGGTTATTTCCAGGTCTTTTATTTTGAACTATCTTCTTTACTCATAATATACAATCACTCAAAATTATGCTGGTCATTATTTGTGGCTTTGACTGAGTTCATACATCTGTGACAAGCATTAATCAATGTAAACTACTTTTTATTAATACAGGCCTAAAAAGATGCTTCTAAAAGACTTTTACGTACAGGCCAGAGGCACCTGATGTGGAGTTAAGGTGGTCATGAGCCTGGGAATCAAACTTAGGCTCTCTGGAGCATAAGAACGTGTTCTTATCCACCCTACTCTTCATTTCTAAACAATGACTAGTAACAGTTCTTCAAAAACTTCTCTTCTTTTGTGTCATTTCTTTAAAGTCCCATCTACCACCATCAGTCTTAAGCCCAAGAAACAGGCCATATAAATGTACTATCTGCTCTTCTTCCCTAGGTGACCACAAACACAAGCTGAGCAGCATACAGTGAGTCCACCTACCCATCTGACTTTTTCCGTGTAACAATAGAAATTCATACTCGCCCCAGTCCCAGCCCTGGTTGACTGTGACTGCATTCTCAAGTGTTTTACTCAGAGCCTCATGACTACCAAGTACAGAATGGAAGCCCATATTCTTTCGGGGAAACCACTTTATGTGTTTTTTCCTAAAACTGGAAAAGTATATAACTTTTTTTCCCCCTAAAGCTCCAAAGTATATAGCCAAATCCTAAGTTCCAATATAATCAGTATTTTTCAACACTCTAAATGGAGTGGCTAGACCAATAGCAAGTATAAATACATGTTTAAGTTTTTTTAACTAGCTGCGTTGGGAATGGTGGAAAACAGACACTGAGCAGTAAGACAGACACTCTGGTGACTCACCTAAGTGAAGCAGGTAAAAAATAACAGCTTAGGTAGGGAAAAGGTCAACGATGAAGGTCTTTACTTCACCTTTCAGCATTTCTGAGTTCCCTATACTAGATCTCAAATCTCAGGAGTCCACAAAGACAGCATTTAGACTTCATATCTCCAGAGGAAGGTGCCCAGAGGTTATCAGGCCTCAGGAAATCTTTAAGTAGAAAAAAAAAATGAGAAAGATTTCTCTGTAACAAACGAAGTCAGTTTTCTGAATTCACTGAACACCTTTAAGCGCTCATCATCCCTATAACTTTCTGTGAAATTTAGGACAGGAAAACACTCATATTTCTCATACAGCATAAGCAAGGCAAAGGGTGAACAAGAACTACATTGCAACAGCTAAATTTATTCACCCAAAATATGAATTTGATTCACTTTAACAGAAATTTGTGGTACTTTCTGTGTCTTCTCAAGGAACACTGAGCTGGACTTCTGTGAACGGAACTATTTCCCTTAATAATGAATTATTTAATGTATATAAAAATAAGTTACCCCATCTCTGAGTCAGAAAATCTAGGAATACCCACATTCCATAACCCAAACAATATAGCCAATTCTTGGACTTGAGAAACAGGAACACTTCTAAAGAGCACTGCTTTGGGAAAGCTGAAGGGTAACTTCCCCCACCCCATACTCAATACACTCATCCAGTTGTGCTCACACACATCCACTTATAAAGGAGCTTTCCTCCTAGTCACACGGCTGCAGCCTCCCTCAAGCTGAGAATCTGCCTATTTACTGTACAGGACTGGGGAGTAAACATGCTCTCCAAGGCTCCTGTGCTCTCACAACCGGAAGGCCAGGGCAAGCAAGTAGATTCTTGCGAGTAGAGAGCTTGTTTTCTGAAATCCATTCTACTCCGCAACATTCTCGGGTCCAGGGGCCGGGAGAGGCTCTATGGGCACAACATGGTGGATGACTTGATGGTCCCAGCCAACTGTGGTAAGGAGGGAGTGGTTGAGTGGAGACCACGTAGCATCTCTCACGAAGTCTCTGTGGGCTTGACTTCTAAACCTAAAACAAAGAAGGGGATAAAGGGTGTGGTAAGAGGCGAGACAAAAACCCAGGTGAGAAGAACACAGAAAGAAAACCTAACATAAGTAGGACACATTTTTTGAAATACTTCAACATCTGTACAGCCTCACCAGGACAGTGGCTGTTCAATCATCCAATCCAATCTACTTTCCTAGGTGAAGAAACTGTGGGCAGAGCAGCAAGGAAGTGATATATCCACAACCAAGCAGGAAATCACAGCAAAGGAAGACGTAGACCCAGGTCTTCCACCCACGCCTTTCACTCTACAGCCGGCTCCACTTCACAGAAGTGGTTCCCTACGTGAAGCTGGAATGCTAGCTAGACTTAGCCTGAATCAGACAGCTTCCAGGGCTCAGTCTCTGCAGACATGACACAAATGGAGAGAATTTCTTGGGTGCTGGGGGTGAAACCCTCTACAGACAAAAATGGAGAATTTTCTTCTATTTATTTTTATTTTTAATAATGTGTGAGAAGTCAGAGGCATATAAGACTTGGATCGGGAGTGACACACAGCTGTGAGCAGAATGACATGGATGCTGGGAACAAAAGGAAGTGTTCTCAACTGCTGAGCCATTTCTCCAGACCCAAAGGAAGAATTCAACATGCCAGTTACTGAAAATAGACCTACTTGCCCATTGGTCTTGATCCCTGACACCTGATCATGGAATTCTACTTCAAACTTACACCTCAGAAAGGCTTGAATCCAGCACAGCAAGTGAGCAGTCTTCACTGAGAGAGGCCAGAAAGGGAACACTAGAGGAGGACACAAAGGGAAGAGAAGATAAAGTCCACAGATACCACAAACAAAATCTGATTGGGCCAGCCCCATTCCCACCATAAACTGATCCAGGGCAGAATGCAGCCTGATGCCCATTTTGGTTTAAGGTTTTGCTGCCATTACACTTCTAAGGAAAATGGAGGAAAGTCAGTGCTCACAGAAACCATCCTGGCATCCAACTATCCCAGTGGGTCCCTCTCTACATTAGCCATTACCCAGACTCAGGCTCTCAATCACATGGTGCCAGAAGCCTATTACATTGGTCAAGCTGTGTTGAACAGGAATGAGATCAATTTTGGCTGTTTTCAGACTACACAACCCTAATAAGGACTACACTGACTACTTAAGGAAAACCAGGCTAGAGTACTGTCTCATCTAAGGAACAAAGTAACCAGCTAATGCTTTACCAATAGTTACATCCCTTATCACTCCATTCCTACTCCTTCACCATTGTCCCCCAGCATCGCTTCCAGGTCCCTGGTGACAAACAGTACCTGTGTGGAGAGAACACCAGTCTAGTGACACACTGGGAGTGCACAGCTGAGCTGAGGGTACAGCTTGCATTCTTGGTGTCCACAAGGGAGACAGATCCATTCTCATCACCTGGAGAGGAAAGAGCATGTTGCAGTGTTTAAGAACATATACTTCAGGCTGTGCATGGTCAAACAGTCTTTAATCCTAGCATGCAGGAGGCAGAGGCTGGCCTGAAGATCTCCACGAGTTCAAGGCCAGACACACCAAGTTCCAGGATAGCCAGAGCTAAGACCCTGTCTTAACAACAACAACAACAACAAAAAACAAACAAAAACCACATAGCTTTGATATCAGTCAGACCTGGATTTGAAAGAATCTTAGTTCCTCAAGATATGGACAAATTAGCCACCCTGAGCACCAGTTTCTTTTTGCTAGGCAAGATCAGTAAGTCATTGTGTGGCTGTGACGATTACTAGATAAAGCTATTACTTTAACTACAAACTGTTACTATATGCAGCCACACCCACAGCAAAACATAATTCTCTAAGAGCAAGCTGCTTGCTAAGCGGCTCACTGACTTCTAACCATGCCCAGAATAGGAGAGCTGGAACAAAGAGGAATCGAATCAACTAGGAAAAAGATGTGTTCTCCAAAGCTAAACAAAACTGGCACAATTCACGTACTGCCTAAGTGTACTGACAAGAGCATGTACACCGTAAAGGGAGCCCTTTCTCCTCCTCCCCATTCTAAGAGTCAAGATGCCATGCTGCCTTACCAAAGACAAAGACTTCACTCTGCTGAGGATGCCAAGCCAGGGAGGTAGGAAGGAATCCAGAGGCGTTACAGCCTAGAAAGGAAAAAAAGGGCGGTTTGGAACAATGGCCACAGGTAGAAGAAAGTTTTTCAAAAGAAGTCAAGGAGTCCTGGGAACACTTTCACTGGGTTTCTTAACTGCTGTTACGGCAGCCATGCAGGTCTCCATCCCCGAGTCTCACCACCCACATCTACCCATCAGTCTCCAGTCATTTGGGGGCTCACATTTAAGCCACAATGCCTAACAAAAATAACCCTAGTCCTTTTGTCTGTTTGCAGAGATAACCACCCACCCAGGAGCTAGCCCTTCCTCTTGGTACATGCTGCACTATGGTCAGCAGAACCTCAGTGACAGAAAATGACGCCACAGAGGGTGGACATCTGGCAACTCTGCTGACTCTGGGCAAAGAAAGCCTCTTCCAAGTGGGATCTATTACCATTTTCTCCTCATCACTGGTCTCAGACTCACCTATCTGTGACGCTGGCTTGGGACAGCGGGTATCCCAGAGCAAAATTCTACTGTCCTAGGAAGAGAAAAAGAAAAAGAAAAAGGGTTTCATAATCCAAAAGAACAGCTGCTGGCCAGTCTCCACCGCAGGGATTGGGCCTATTAAAGCTCAGCTGTGGTTGGAAAGAAGCGACTGGATCTCACCTCACTGCATGAAAGAAACACAGAGTCCTTGTGGGGAGAGGCAGCAACATATGTGACTGGTCCTGCATGAGCTGCAAAGGAGAAACATAGCAGAAAAAGGAGAATATAAGAAATAGGCCTATGTTTATTGTATAACTTTGTAAATATCACGATAGATTATAAACCAGAATAACCACCACAGGATAAGCTGGTCGTTATAAAAACCTGAGACAGCTGGGGGAAATAATGAACTGGTAGAGACAATGAAGTCCAATTCCAGTCTCAGTAAGGACAGGGGAGGAGTACAGCACATTTTAAGCAACCCGATTTTCTAATATGCTTTCCCCTTAGACTGACCTGCCTGTGCTTTCCTGTCACCCTTCTCCCACTTTCTAGAGGTAACAGTTACCTCCCTTCCATCCAGGTCCTGCATGGGTATGTTGGTGTTCAGAGCCTGAAAACCTAAGGCTCTCAAATTAAGAGCCAAAGAGAAAAAGGGGCTCCTGGGCGGACTCAGTGAAGGGAGTGACCCCACAAATACAAGGGCAGCACTCTGACTTGACACTCCATTTCTAACGTGAAAACTGAAGAGTGAAACGGCTGTTGTCCCAAGAACACAACCAATCAGCTCATCTGGATTAACAAAGCAAGCTGGACTTTTCCTGAGAGAAAGAGAAATCCAAGGCTGCTACAATGCACACTGGTTTTCATTATTGGGCGATTTCTAAAGTTTCTAGAAACATGACAAAAAGAGTAACTTCTTGGCAACTACCTAATTTTTAAGAAACACTCATTCATCAATTGTGTATGTGTGCACAGGTACCACAGCACTCACGGAGATCAGAGGATAGCTTGTTAGGAGTTAGCTCTGTTCTTCCACCAAGCGGAATCCAAACATCAAACACAGGATTCCAAGTTTGGCAGCAAGTATCTTCACCCACAAAGTCATCTCACCTGTCCTACGTAAATCTTTTCACTAACAATTTTTAAATGTATGAGAGGGTATAGCTTTTAAATTCTTTTAGGAGGCCTACATGCAAGGGAAATAAAAAATCACTGCTACTAATTAGCTAGAGGCTGAAGAAACCACTGAGGTCATTTAACCAGTCCTTTTAGAGCACCCAAATGGTTCTATCTTAAGGATTAAACCACCCTCATCCTTCTATCCTCACTCTAGAATCTGTCTTCATGAATTCAAAATTCATAAAGAATTGCTACCAAAATAAAGTCAACTGGTGGTTCTGTTAATGAAGCAAATAGAAGAACATTAAAGAAAGTGATGAAATGCCCGGAAAAGATGTTTTGTAGAAGTGAAAATTCAAAAGTTAGGTTCAAAAGTTTTGGGCAGGAGAGATGGCTCAGTCAGCAAAGTGTTTTCCACATCAGCAGGAAGACCTGAATTCAACCCCAGAATCCATATAAAAAGCCAAGCAAGTATGGTGGCACTTGTTGTCCCAGCACTGGGGAGTCATGGACAAGAGAACCCTTGTGGCTCCCTGGCTAGTCAGGCTTGCCTCATCTGTGAGCTCCATGTCCTAGTGAGAGACTCAGTCTCAGAAACCAATAGGCATCTCCAAAGTTGACCTCTGGCCTCCACATGCATGCAATTGTCACACATATGCACAAGTCCCAGGGCTTATTCTCTGAGAACAAGGCTCTACTGTGTTTGGATTAAGCTGGAGAACAGTTTACTGTCAGAATAAAACTTTAATGCCAACTAAAAAGTGGGATCTTGACCTACAGCTTACAAGAAACCAATGAAGAACCAAGAGTTAAAGATCACAGGTGGAGAGACGAGGGAGACTGTCTACTGCTAAAGCTGCATGACAAACGGAATGTAAGAAATGGGCAGGAAGGGGACTGAACAAAATAGAGACTCAAAAGAACCTAATGAACCCCGAGTATAAGAAGATAGGGGCTGTTGGCCACTGCGGTTTAAAACGTTTGGCTCCCAATTGGTGGACTATTTAGGAAGGATTGGGGGTGTGGCCTTGTTGGAGGAGGTGTGTTACTGAGGGTGGGCTTTGAGGTCTCAGAAGCCCACAAAGCCAGGCCGGCTTGCCATCATCTTTCTGACACATGCTTGTGAATTGGGATGTAAGCTCTTAGCTACTGCTCCCGCACCATGACTGCCTGCCTGCTTGTCCCCATTCTTCTCATGATGATAGTCATGAACTAACCCTCTGAAACTGTAAGCAAGCCTTCAACTAAATGCTTTTTCCTACAAGTTGCCTTGATCATAGTGTTTCACAGCAATAAAACAGCAATTAAGACACCCATGCGGCCAAAACGTCGTGAAGCCAACAACACAAAACAAAAACACAGAGAAATAAACAGGAATAATGGAACCTGATTGTAGTTGGGGGTAAGGAAAAGCCAACCAAGAGAACACAGACTTGCTATTATTATTATCCAAACAAAGTTCAAAGATCCCAAAGGAGAAAATAAAAGATAACGGTAGGCAGTACCAATCAAGAAAGAATACTTACCTCGGTACGAATTCAGTGACATCTGCTGAGCCAGGTCCCAAATTTTGATGCTACGATAAAAAAAATAAAGAAAGAAAAGAAAAGAAATCTTGACTTGCACTATCAACATAAAAATGTACTCAAACAAGGACATGTTTGACCAACATGTCCCATATCTGCCTCCTAGACTCTTGCCATCTTATTTATAAACCACTACCAATACTCAAAACAGACATGCCATTACTCACTAGCCTCTAAAACAGCCCAAAACAGTAATCAATGAAACTAAGGGGATAGTAATGATACCCACAGGAAGCCTAGGGACGGGAGTAATGAAAGCAGGGACCCACCAGAAGTCTTTGCTACCACTGACGGCTTGTGTACCAGAGCTCAGGACTGTGACAGTAGACACAATGTCATCATGCTCATACTTGCAGAACTTGCTGACAATAAGTGTCTCATTCTCATCTAGCTCCCACAATTCAACAGCACCTGTTGAGGACAGAGTGGGGTGAGGTGCAGGTGAGGAAAGCCCAAGCCTGGGTTAGACCCAAGTGGTAATGCATGCCTAGGACTCACGCAGGCATTATTACTGAGCTAACAGAAGTTATTCCTGTAAAAACAAAGTCCGTATCATTAAAGGGCTTAGCTCGCTTCTAGGCCTTTTTTTTTTTGTTTTTCGAGACAGGGTTTCTCTGTGGCTTTGGAGCCTGTCCTGGAACTAGCTCTGTAGACCAGGCTGGTCTTGAACTCACAGAGATCCGACTGCCTCTGCCTCCCAAGTGCTGGGATTAAAGGTGGTGTGCCACCACCGCCCGGCCCTAGGCCATTTGGTTTTATGTTACCTTATTGCTTTCCTCACAAGAGCCCAAACGACTATATGAGGAAAACTCCTAGAAAAAGACAGCGAGATTACTATATCAACTATCTAATTAATATTTGATTCAACTGTCTGAAAAAATGCCTTGCAATACTATACTTTACTTGAAAAAATACTTGCAATGCCAGAGAGGCTCAATCCCTAATGTCCTACTTTTCAACTTCCATGCCCTACCTAACAATTTAAGAATACATACTTATGACAGGCACGGTGGCACACACCTTTGATCCCAACACTCCCAAGGCAGAGGCAGGCGGATCTCTGTGAATTCTAGGCCAGCCTCATCTACAAAGTGAGTTCCAGGGCAGCCAGAGCTACACAGAGAAACCCTGTCTCAAAAAACCTAAACAACAACAAAATACACACACACACACAGAGATATTTTTATTTTAGCTGTATAGTTGTTTTGTCTTCATGTCTATTCATCAAGTGCACTGGATTAGTGTCATGTGGGTGCTGGGAATCCAACTTTGGCCCACTTGTAACCACCAGGTCATCTTTCCAGACCCAGAATCAATCTTTTTAATTTTTGAGTACTTTAATTTTTGAGACAGGGTCTCCATAAGTAGCCTTGGATAGCCTGGAACTCGCTACGTAGAAGACGCTGGCCTCCAAATCACAGAGCTCTGCCTGCTTCTGCTGGAATAAGCAGCACTCACGCCCAGTGCCCACCAACTTCTAAATTTTATTTAATATGTTTCATTTAATGTCATTTTAACATAATGTTCGATTCTCTGAGAATGTCATACATGCACACAACGTAGTTAGAGCATATTCACCCCTACCTTGTCCAAGATTCACCCGCCCCCCATCACCTCCTTCCAGGGAAGGGGGTTACTCACCTGAATCTGAAGCCACTAGGATACCTTTGTCCCCCACCCAAGTGAGGTCAGCTACTCCGGCCTCGGTCTGGACGCCCGCAGAGCAGAAGCCTTCGTTGGGGGCCGCACTCGGATCCTTGAAAAACCACAGAGAGCCAGCCCAGCAGCGACCACTTAGACTGGAGGCCCCGAGCAGAAGAGAACCATCTACGGTGGGGAAAGGGAAGTCATAAGGAGTCAGATGGAAGGCCCAGCATGTTTCTATGGTAACCTCATAGAATCCAACGCGAGGCGCGTCTGGATTTGAGATCAGGTTTGTGGGGCAGGATTGGGCAGCTCCCGAACGCCGGGTAGGAATCGGGAGGGCACACGCGCTGTGTGGACTTGGCAGGGTTAGTGCCGGGAAAGGGCGCCCGGGGCTGGGGAAGGGGGCTTCCAGGCCCGGAATCTCGGCTCACCAGACCGGTACCGTGCAGCCTCCAACTGCCGTTCCATGCAGGCAGGAGCATTGGGGGGCAGGTTCCACTCGCGGGCCGCCGGGGGCACGAGCGGAGGTGGGGTTTCCTTCCGCATCTCCACGGTTCCAGCTCCAACCTAGACCCAAGCTAAGCGACACCGACTCCGCGCTGGCGGAACCCCCACGTGGTGCACCTCTGCGCCTCCACCCCTCTCCAAGGGCTACGCTCTACTTCTCGCGAGAATTGCGTCCGCACTCCCAGCTTGTTTCCTTCTGCCTTTCCCGCAACGGGATTTCGGTTTTTTTTTTTTTTTTTTAATTCTTCTCGCGAGGGGAAAAAAAAATCTGGCAGGGCAGAAAGCACTCCGCTCTCTTCTCGCGAGATTTGTGAGCGGCCATCTTGCTCCTGCCCCTGACAGTCTCCGGTCGGGGTCACGGGGACGTGAAGTCCGCTGCCTGGACCTTTGCAGACCATGCTGTCCCGGGTGGTACTTTCTGCCGCCGCCGCAGCGGGTGAGACATGTAGACCCCTGGCTGGTCTGTCAGGATGACTGGGAAGAAGCTAGGCCTGGGGCAACAGGGAGGCGGAAAGCGGGTGAAGAAAGGACCTCGTCGTTTGGGCCTGAGCAGAGCTGCCTGACCATGTAGGATCTCGGGGGACGTCGAGGAGGGATGCGTGGGACCGAGGAAGGTGGAAAGTGAATTTCACCTTGACTTTGCTAACCTGCGCCTTGTGTTGTTTGCAGCCCCGTGTCTGAAGAACGCGGCTGTCCTGGGACCAGGGTAAGTGTCGCCGTGACCTATTACTCCGTTTCTTTTTCTTAGCTTTAAGCCAGAAATTACTTTTTTTCCTTCCTTTTGGCGAGCCTAAATCCTCATTCAGACGCTTGTTCTTCTAATTGCCTTGAACGTTGTCATCTCCACCTGTGACAGACACCCGGAGACGGTAAGTCTCGCCCCTCACTGTGACCTTCAGCGACACCCAGCTCGGAGTCAGTCACGAGCTGACACTCAAGAACAGATCTGGTTAAATATAACAAATTATGTTGTTTTGATTGTCTCCCAGGTTTCTGCCTTCTGTTACCATATCAGGAGTCAGAAATTATGCGTTGTTTGGTAATGTTTGTCTTGACTATCACAGAATGAGGAAAACTGAGTAACTTACATCACAGCTATGTCTAACAGTTTACAGGCTCGCGGGCTACACCTGGCTCCTCCTCTTAGCAGTGACACCTCACTTAGAGCCGTATAATGGTTTGTGAGATAGAAGAGAATTAATTCTTGTAAAACTCAGGAAACGGTGCTTAGTACATTGTGTGTATCAGAAATGTTGGCGCTGCTGCAGGTAAAATTCTTTTCTTAAAAGGGTGTGTATGAAGTGTTTTAACTCCCGAACTTAATCATACAGCTTTCAAAGTTTACTAACTACAGAGTGCTTGAAAAAGCTGGCCTCGTTTAGGTGTGATTGTCTTGTGTATGCAATAAAGTTGAGACTACAGTTAACTGCTTTTGACTTACAGAAAAGCCACGCCATACAAACATTGAAAAGTCGCCGTGTGGGCCTTAGCACTGCCAGAAATAAATTATGGCACAAGCGATAAGTGAATTACATGCAGAAGATACAAGACGCACCTCCGTTTCTCCTCTGTCACCCTGCATTCTCTAGCGCATCAGCAAGGCTTGGCCTCGAGCTGTGCTTTCGCTGACTATGCCCACTACCATTACTATGACAGGAGCAGTTAAGGACCCTTTAGTCTTCTGGTTTTATCCTGGTACAGATAAATGTACATTCTCGATGTAACAGAAATTATGACAATCTCCCACCTAAAACCTTCGGAGCTCATATCCCTCTTGAAATAAAATCGAAACTTAGCAAAACCAAGAAACTCAACTGGAATCAGCCTCATCGATATCTTGGTTCTCCTCATCCTTCCATGTTTTGCTTTATGTTCTAGTCGTACCAGCCTTGCTATTTCTCTGGGGAAATGCCAAGCTCCTTTTTTTTTTTCTTTGAGAATTACATTTTTATTTATGTGTATGTATGTGTGCATGCATGTATGTGTGTGCACTTGCTCGCACACAAGTGTTTCTACACAAATGCTTGCAAAGGCAAGAGGTTAAGAGGCTGTTAGATCTGGAGCTGGACTTAAGGGTGGTTGTGAGCAACCCAGCATAGGTGCAGGGAACTGAACTCTGGTCCTATGGAAGCACAGCAAACACTCTTGACTGCTGGGCCATCTTTTCAGCCCTATGCTTATTTTGGTTGCCATTTGTTCATTGTATGAAATACTAGCATTTATAAGGACATTTTTATGCAAGTGTATAATGGACCTTGAGCAAGCATAGCCCTCCTTTGCTCATGTATCTTTTTTCTCTCCCCCACCCCATTACTCTTCATTCTTCTGTACAGTTTGGCTTCCACTTTCATGTTACGGACATGCTGTGTGTATCTATGTAAAATCTGATGTCTACAAATGACAGCAAACATGATGTTTTTATTTTTCTGAGACTGAATTTGTCTTACAATAATCTCCAGTTATATCTGTTTTCTCATCCTGTATAGTTGAATAAAATTTCACTGTACATATAGCACATTTTCTCCATCCATTCATTCCTCTGTTTGCAGGCACCTAGATGGCCTCCATAATTTAGCTATTGTGAATAGTGCTGCGTAAGCACTGGTGTACAAGTGTTTCTGTGGTGTGCTGGCTTGGAATCCTTGGCATAAATATATAGGAGTGGTCTAGCTGAGTCATATGATCTATTTTTAGTTTTTTATGCTCCCTTCATATTGATTGGGGGGGGGGCTGGACTTATTTACATTCCCACCAGCAGCCAGCAGTGTATAACGTTTCTAACTTTCTTTTTATTTATTCTCTGTGTCTTTCATAACATGCATCTCCATTGCCTTCATTTTCCCATCCCTTCCTATCTGCCCTCTGACTTGCAACCTTCCTCCTAAATAGAATAAAATTTAAGAGAAGAAGGAAAAATCAATCTCATGGAAGCTGTAGTGTGACACAGTGAGTCGTGCAGTAACCCTTTTATTCGTATATCCTTTCTTACAAGTGTTCTTTACAGAGTCATTGGTCTGGTTCAAGGCCTCTGCTTTCTTACACTATCAGTGCTGGGTCCTCACTGGAACTCATCTTGGCTATCCCGCTGTTGCCCTATGTTGTGGAGATCCTGCAGCTTTGGGTCTGCAGGACAGGTCCCTTCATGTGCTCCAGCAGATCATAGATGGGGTGGATATTGGGGTGGACCAGTTCATAACCCTAGTTCTGGGCCTGGATAGTAGCAGGTTATAGTTGCAGGAGAGCCCACCAGCTTTCCTGCATTGCCCTGGCTACTTCTGCTTTTATGTCCTCAGGGTTGATTCTCCCACACCTTCAAAGTCGGTTCTACTGTGTTGCATAGGGGCCTCTCTCCCAAGTGTTGTAGCTGATTGTAGCACAATTAATAAAAACCCAGAGACCATTATTGGTGTTCAACCTAAAGGTCTGAAAAGCAAAACAGCCAGCCACTGGCTCTTATCTCTACCTTGGGCCAAAGTGGTGATCCTGTCTCCAGGAATCTCAGAATGAGACTGTATGAGAACTGTCTCCTCCCATCTTATATTCCTCTCTAGTGCAGGGATTAAAGGTGTGTGTCACCACTGCCTGGACTGTAAGGCTGACCAGTGGGGCTATTTTACTCTCTGAACTTCAGGCAAGCTTTATTAAAATACAAATGAAATATCACTGAAGCTGATGAGTAGGGACAACTCCCCCCTCTCCTATGACCTCAGGACCAGCTTTCCCACCTGCTTCAGGCATTGATTGGAGAGGAGGGGGGCAATGTGGTAGAGTTTTTGTTTGGTTTTGGTGTTTGGGTGGTGTTTGATTGTTTTTGACTTTGGTTTTTCGAGTGCAGCCTTTGTTTGTACTGTCGTGGAGCTCACTTAGTGGATCAGGCTGGTCTTAAACTCAGAGGTTTGCCTACCTCTGCCTCCTGAGTGCTGGGTTTAAAGGCGTGTGTCACCCCAGCTTCATTGTGGTTTTTATGTTCCTGTTGGCTGGTGATATTGAACCATTTTTCTTTGAGGCAGAGCTTCACCTCTGTAGCCCTGACTGGCCTGGAAATTGCTATGTAGTAGACCAGGCTGCTCTCAAAGAGATTCACCTTCCTTGATTAAAGGCCTAGGCCCAGCTTTTTCCTATGTTTATTCACCTTTTGAGTTTGGTCATTTCGTTGGCCCATTAATTGACTAAGGTGTATTTCTTAGAATTTAGGGGTTTTGTTTTGGGGGGCCATTTGCAGGGGGAATTTGTCATTTTACTTTTTATTTTCTAGATACTAATTCTGTTAGATGTACTTACCAAGATTTCCTCATTCTGTAACTGTCTCTTCATTCAGTTTCTTCCTTTGCTGTAAAGAAGCTTTTTAATTTTATAAAGTTTCATGTCAGTTCTTGGCATTATCTCCTGAATAATTACAGAAAGTACTTGCCTGTGTTTGTCTGAAAGCTTTTGTTAATTTAGGATAGGTTTTTCGTACAGGCTGAGAAATAGCGATCTAGCTTCATTCCTCTGCATGTGGATATCCATTTCTCCCAGCATCATTTGTTGAAGTGTTTCTTTGTAGAGGACATGCTTTGAGGTATCTGGAAGACTGTTTGGATTTGGCTGTCATTAAATAAAGGCATTCCAAGCAGAAGCAGCAAAATAAGACAAGTGCTTTTGAGAGATGTGAATAGTCGTATGAGTAAAGGTCGGGCACCAAAGAAAGGTGAAGATGCCCAGTTTGCAGGAACTGGGTCAGCTGTGCTATATTGTTTGTTTCCTGTAGATAGAAAAGAGCATGCTGAGGTCAGCCTGCTGTCACGTTCATGTTTTAGAAGCATGGGCAGTAATATGGAAGAAGGAGCTTTAAGGAGTATTTGGCAAGAAGAGCCATCAGGTTTGGGGATGTTAAAATAGTTTAAGAAAGAGAAAATGACGGCTTCAACTGAGATAACCTTGGCAAACTGAAAAGGCCTGTTTCACAGCAGTCCATCAAAGGGAATAATATTCAGAGTCACCATTCTCAGCATCAGGTTGCCGACACTGCTGGGGAACCCTACTACCTGACAAGTTCCATTCTAAGAATGTTGTGTATATGAACTCACTCTTCACAGTGGCCTTGTAAAGTTATGTTTACTATCTTACATAAAGAAATCTGAGATTACACAAACTTAAGTTCTGGGTGCTGGTAAGATGGTTTAGCAGGTTAAGATACCTGCCACTAAGCCTGACAGGTATTCCTGAGTTCTGTTTCCCAGACCCA